TTTTAGTAGAGACGGGGTTTCACCATGTTGACCAGGATGGTCTCGATCTCTTGACCTCGTGATCCACCCACCTCGGCCTCCCAAAGTGCTGGGATTACAGGCTTGAGCCACTGCGCCCGGCCCTTAATGAGCTTTAAATTTTTCATGTAACAATTTAGAAACTCGTCTAATTTGAAAGAAAACAACACCTAGGTGATTGGCATTTATTCACCAACCACGTGACTTGGGCAAGTCATTGAAATCTTTTTTAGTCTCCTCCCCTGCAATGGCGACAATACTTGCCATACAGGATTATGGAGCTTAAACGGGATAACTGGTGTTGAACGGTTCCAGGCCCGTGATCAGGGCTCAGTGTTCCTTCCCTTCCGCTTTAGTGCATGGCTTTCTACATCCGGAGAAGATTCGCACCTAAGATCAGTTCCAAGGTTCGCTTCCTGGATGGGCGAGGGAAATTAGGCGCTAACTCTCCTATTTACCCCCGCCGGCTGCCGGCAGGCGGGACTCAGGGAAGCCAGGCGGCCCCTGCGCTCTGAACTCCCTCCCCGCCCGCGCCCATCGGATCCAAACGGCTCGGGGCGAGGCAGCGCTCAGACAACGTAGCTGGCTCCGGAGGGGAGTCCCTTGAGGCTGAGGCCACGCCCCGCCACGCACAGATAGTGACGTCATCCCCCGCTGCCGCTCCGACGCTTTCCAGGCCCGACTCGCGAGGCTCCGCCCCGACTGCGCCCTCGCGAGCCGCAGCCCGAGGGGCGGGGCTTTTCGAGGAGCGACAGGACGCGAAGCCAATCGCGGCGAGGCTTTGCGCCCGTGGCGCGATTTGAAATTTTGCGGTGCTCAACGGCTGTCGTAGCGCCTACCCGGAGTGAGATCGTCGGTGTTTGCGGGTGGTTGCTGCGCTCGGGGCCGTGTGGAGTAGGTCTGGACCCGGAATCACGGCTGCTTGGAGCGTCGCCATGAGGAGAAGGTGCGGGTTGCGGGGAACTCGTGGAGACGCGGGAGGGAGCGACGCCCGTCTCGGGTTCGGGGCCCGTGCAAGGGGTGCGGGGCCCGTGTGGGATTCCGGGTCTAGGGCATCACGGCAGCCGGCGTCGGCTGAGGCCGGGGGCGCATGGGGTCTGGGTCTGGAGGCGGCGAGTGGGTGCGAGGGCCGCGGCGGAGGCAAAGCTGATGCGCTGTGCCTCGGCGGCCGCGGTGCCCTCAGGCTCGGACGCCCGGGTGGAAGCCGAGCGCCGGTGCCGGGACGCGGAGGGGCGGGCGAGGCCAGGGGTCCGGGGCAGCCTTCACCGGGGCGGTCAGCCCTGGCGCCCAGACCCCACCCTCCCCGCCCGCGGAGTCTCAGGTGCCGCTTCTTGGCGCAGATGACTCGTTGTAAACCTGTGGTCGTAACGTTTATTTATCGTTGTTTTTCTTTGTTTTATTCTTTTATTTTTGTGGAAACGCGGTCTCCTCATGTTGGCCAGGCTGGTCTCGAACTCCTGGCTTTAAGCGATCCTCCCTTTGGGATTACAGGCGGGAGCCACCGCGCCCTGCCGGCTGTTTTTCTTTATATCTGGCCAGCGGTGACGTTTTGTTTGAACTGGAAAGACAGCTTTGTTTCCTTGGAAGTTAAGAAATTCGGATCATGGAATTCTTTTCCGGTCGTTTTAACAACTTTCTAGGCAATGTTGGGGAGGGACTGTCCAACTTCAAATCGGGACCTGTCGGAGACACTGCCACTTAACAGCCTTGTGACTTCCAAATATTAACTTTATTTTCTGAAAGTTATGGATGAAGTATGGTGATGATACAGCGTCAACTAAATTGTAGTTTTTGGTCGAACCGATTGTGCTAAAGCTTTGTAAGAGTCTTCATTTCATGATCACTAATTCTGATCAGTCCTTTTCAAATGCTTGCCCACAAAATAATGGGAGTTTAGTGCCAACATAGTAAAATCCGGTCTCAACTAAAAATACGAAAATTAGCTGGGCGTAGTGGCACATGCCAGTACTCCCAGCTTCTCAGGAGGCTGAGGCAGGAGAATCCCTTGAGCCTGGGGGGCAGAAGTTGCAGTGAGCTGAGATAGCGCCACTGCACTCCAGCCTAGCGCAGAGCGAGACTCCGTCTCAAAAAAAAAAACCAAGTCTATTAACAGTTTATGAATTATTCAGGCATCTCCTCTTCCAAGGGATTGAATGAAGCGGGAGGAAGTTACCCTTTAATGTTGGTTCCAGGCTAATGGATATAATTAGAACTTTTTTTTTTTTTTTTTGAGACAGCCTCTCACTGGCACCCAGGCTGGAGGGCAGTGGTGAGATTGCTCACTGCAGCTTTGACTTCTGGGGCTCAAGCAAAACTCTGGCTGGAATAACATTGTTATCGATGCCTGAAACAGGTTGTACAGGAGATGAACAAAGCTCCTTCTCTGGAGCGCTAAGAAAAAAATAGGGCAGTAGATCAGTGAAGGCTGCCTGGAGGTAGAAAGTCATTTAGAGGAGGACCTTTTTGAGAGTTCTTCCAGTCCAGTGATTTATGTTCCAGGCTGGAAAAACTGCCTCATTTTACAACTTTTGTGTCCTTGAGTGGTAGTCTTTGTATGCACTCTGAGTTTTTCAGTGAGTTTAAAAAAAATCTCAGACTGGCTCCTTTTAGGGGATTACCTGAAACCAGGCAGTATTTAAGTGTATCATAATTATTGTTCACAATGATTACTCTGAAGCATCTTAAGATGATGCAGCTTTATTGAAATGTCACATTATTCATTCGAAAAGATTTCTTGGGCCTGGTACAGTGGCTCACCCTTGTAATCCCAGCACTTTGGGAGGCCAAGGTGGGAAGATGATTTGAGCCCAGGAGTTTGAGACCAGCCTGGCCAACATAGCCAGACCCTGTCTCTAGTAAAAAAAATAACAATTTATAATAAAAAAAGGAAAAGACTTCTTGAATGTTTGTTATATACAACTATTCTAAGTGGCAGGGAAACAGCTGTGAGCAAAAGTGACATCCTTGCCCTCACAAGAGTTTATATTATAATAGCAAAATAGAAGTGTAATAAACAAGTATATCGTTTAATGGTGGTAAGTGTTATGTAGAGTAATCAAGCAGAGAAAGGGGATAAGAAGTATTGAAGGTGCTGGAATGGGGGTTGTGGTTTTGGAGAGATGGGTCAGGAAAGGCCTCCGTGAGAAGGTGATCTCTGAGCAAAGACCTAAGGAGGAAAAGGGTGAAGCTGTGCAGCATCGGGGAAAAGAGATCCAGGTAGAGGGATCAGCAATTCCAAGTGCCCTAAGGGGGGATAGTGCCTGGTATGTTCCAGAAACAGCAAAGAGGTCACTGTGACAGGAGTAGAATGAGCACTGAGGTTAAAAGAAATGGCTTTCAGATGGAATGGGGCTCCATAAACCTCTGGAAAGGCAGAGGCTTTTCCTCAGAGTGAGATGACAAGTCATTGGAGGAGTCTGAGTAGATTAGGACTCAGGGACACTAGACTTAAGGAGGCCAGCATCGAAGCAGGGAGACCAGTGAAGAGGCCCTGGCCATACAGCAAAAAGTTGTTGGTGGTGACCTGGACCAGGGTGGGGGTGGTAGTGGTGGCAGCAGAGGTCCGGGGGAGTGAGATTCTGCCTGTCTTGTGTAGATAATGCTAATGGCGGGACTATAAGAAAGTACTGTCAAGGATTATGTAAAATGTAAGTTAAAAAAATTAAGTTCAGTATAATTTGAATGTTAGGAAGAGTGAGAAATGTTAGTTTTTAATTCTTTGAAAATGATCCTCTTACAGGAACTGTCTCTAAATAGAATAACATAATGGGTGTTTAGAATTACCAAACATTTCCAAGAGGCCAAATAAAATTCATTATATATTAGTAAAAATTATTTTTTGGGGGACGGGGGATGGGGGGAGTCTTGCTCTGTCACCCAGGCTGGAGTGCAATAGTGTGATCACAGTTCACTGCAACCTCTGCCTCCTGGGTTCACCAGGTTCAAGTGATTCTCCTCCCTTAGCCTCCTGAGTATCTGGGATTACAGGTACCTACCACCATGGCTGGCTAATTTTTGTTTTTTTAGTAGAGATGGGATTTCACCATGTTGTCCAGGCTGGTCTCAAGCTCCTGACCTCAGGTGATCTGCCCGATTTGGCCTCCCAAAGTGCTGGGATTATACATGTGAGCCACCACAGCCGGCCATAGTAAAAATTTATGTTTTTCAATTAAGTTATAAATCAAAGAAATTTCAGAATATGTACCAAGATTTTTTAATAGCAGCTTTGAGGTATAATCCACATACCATACAATGTACTTAAAGTGTATAATTCAGTGATTTTTCAGAATATTCAGAGTTGCGTAATCATCACTGCAATCAATTTTAGAACATTTTTATCACCCCTTCAAAATCTCATTAGCAGTCAATCTCCGTTCCACCTTATGGTCCAAATTCTCTCCACCCCCAACTTTTTGGCTAGGCAAAGGTGGCTCACATCTATATCCCAGCACTTCGGGAGGCCGAGTTGGGAGACCTGCTTGAATCCAGGAGTTCAAGAACAGCTTGGGCAACATAGGGAGACTCTGCTTCTACAAAAAAAAATTTTTTAAGTTAGCTGGGTGTGGTGGCTCACACCTGTAGTCCCATCTACTCCGGAGGCCAAGGTGGGAGAATCACCTGAGCCTAGGAGGTTGAGGCTGCAGTGAGCCATGATCACATTACTGCACTCCAACCTGGGTGAAAGAGGGAGACCCTGTCTCAAAAAAAAAAAAAAAAAAACCCAAATCTACTTTTTACTGATTCTGGATATTTCATATAAACAGAACCATCACTGTGGTCTTTTTTGACTTGCTTCTTTGACTTAGCATGTTTTCAAGGTTTATTGCCAAATAATATTCCATTGTACGGCCATACACTACATTTTATTTACCCATTCATAAGTTGATGGCCATTTGTGTTGTTTTTTCCCACTTTTTGGCTATCATAAATAATGCTGCTATAAACATTTGTGTTGTTTTAGTATAAATGTTTTCATTTCTTTTGGGTAAAAACCCAGTCATAAAATTGCTGGGTTGTATGAACTCTGTTAAAGTGAGGGGCTGGGTGCAGTGGCTCATGTTTGTAATCCCAACACTTAGGGAGGCCAAGGTGGGAGGATCGCCTGGGCCCAGGAGTTCAAGACCAGCCTGAGTAACATGGCAAACCTTTAACAAAAAACAAAAACTAGCCAAGTGTGATGGTACATGTCTGTGGTCACAGCTACTTGGGAGGCTAAGCAGGGAGAATTGCCTTGAGCCCGGGAGGTTGAGGCTGCAGTGAGCT